GACAGTTCATGAGCACACACCACCCGCAGCGGGGAGGGGACAACGTGACAGTCATACTCCTCTACAGGGGCCTGTTCTCTTGCCCTGCGGTGCTTCAGATTCGGGTAGGGTTTTGTATCTGAAAAAGGTAATAAGCATTTACAAACCCTTAGTTAACACAGACGGCAGCAGGGAGGTCACAGGGCAGCATGTGATTAATTGGTTTTATGATTTTAAAAAATGGTCAGAAACCTGGGGGGGAAGCAACAGCAAGGCCATGCCTGGTGTGTGGTCAGGTAGGCAGCAGCCTGGTGGGCAGGGGTGGAGTGGGGCTCCACAGAGCAGGTCTGGGAGCCAGGAGGAGGTGAGGGCTTCCAGGAGCGCCTGCAGCCACATCCACCACGCTGGCCAAGCTGGCCAAGGCCCCGTGGGACTCTGGGTGGTGCAGCTCGTGGGAGGCCAGAGGGCAGAAGAGCTGGGCCACAGGCAGAGCATGCGAGCCTTCCAGCAGGGGGCTGCCTCACCCTAACCAGAGCGAGTAGGACAAAAGTGAGGACAGCCCCCTCAGCACCAGTGAGCTAGACACCAGCCAGCCGCCCTGGATGTCCTGAGCCTGCAGCCACGTTTTCTATGGGGCAGGGCGGGACAGACAAAGCTCTCTGGGCAGAGGGCTCCTGCAGGTCCTGCCCCCCACTGAGCCCAGTGACAAAGCCTGCTGTCTCCAGAAGCGTCTCCTCTGGGACCAGTAGTTGGCATAATGGCTATGTCACTGGACTCCCACGTAGTTGACCGCGATTCAAGTCCCGGACCCAGTGGCTTAAACTCATGCCGGGCGCGTGTGCATGCGTGCCCAAGATCCCAAGAGGAAACTGGAGGAGAAGGGATTGCGGCGTGACCATCCCCCCTGGGGGTGATTTCTCGCTTTCTGTCTCTCTTTCTCTCTCTTTCTGGCAAGCACATGCTCCCTCTAGTAAAAACCTCTTCAAGAAAAATAGAAGCACCTTCTCCTCTGGAGCCTGCAGAAGCCACTGCTAAGACCTCCACCAAAGACGGGCAGGTGCCCCGTAGAAGGCTCTGCGGGAGCTGCTCTTCCCTTGTCAGGGCCTCACTGCCCTGGGCCGTAATTACTCCCAAGAATGTCTGTGCTCCCAGAGGACCCTAAGTTCCATGGGGGCAGGGGTATGCTCTGAGTAAATAAACGAATGATGGAGAGCGACAGACTGGGAGAGGGGGCAGGGAGGCTGAGCGGATGAGTGACAAATGACTAGGCAACCAAGGGACAGCTGCCTGCGGGGCCACTTCACAGTACGACACCGGGGTGCCACCCACAGGGGAGGGCTTCTCCAGGGTGTCACCACCGAGTAGGGGGATGGGGCAGAGCAGGGAGGTGGCTGGCTAGAGGGAGAGCCGGACTGGGAGGGCAGACAGCTTCCGCTGCACCCATCTGCTCTTCCGGCTTTGGAACCCAGCCAGGGCCCCCTAGAGAGGACCAGGCCCTCTCTCAGTTTCCCCTTCTGTTGAGGAAAAAAAATGGAAATTCTTCAAAACAGAGAAATTAATAAGAGCTAACCTAAGAGGCTTGGAATGCAAGGTTCATTTACAGTTTTAATAGCCCAAAATAAGAGGTAAGACTACAGACTTCGGCTGTGGTAATAAAGTCGCAGGGGCAATGCATCAGGACCTCAAGGTTTGTGACTGCCCCCTCCCGGATCAGAAATAGATTGCCCAAGGTCCTGCCAATCAAGGAAGCCCAGGAGCTGGCCCTGACCTTTAAAACCAATCACTGAACCGATCATCCACTTAGGACCCCTCCCTTAATTTTGTCCTTAAAAATGCATGTTGGGGCCAGTCAGTGGCAAGGTGGTTAAGATGGCTGGACCCCACATGGCCACAGTGTGGTCTGCGTACTGGATCTAGCAGCTTCAGAACATGCCCAGCACATATGCACGTGTGCCCAAAAGAAGAGAGAAATGGAGGAGAAAGCACTGCAGCGTAACCATGTCCCACTGGGGGTGCTTCCTCACTTCCTCTCTGTCTGGCAAGCACATGCACCCTCTGGCAAATTAAAAAAAAATCCCCTTACTTTGCGCAAGGCAATAAAAGGTATCCTGTCACGCCTTGTGGCCGCAGTTTGGCTCACAGCACTCGGGCCAGGGACCTGGGCTTGAGCTCAGTAACAGCTTCAGCAAGAGGCGTCTTGGGAAAAGGAGACAGGAAAAGCCAGAGCACAGCGGGCACATCGCTGACCTCGCACCTCCCACCAAACGCAGCGAGGTGGGCTGAGTGGAGCCTAGTCCCCATGGAAAGCACCAGAACACAGGAGGAAGACCTGGCCCTGCAGGCCCACTCTCCGGCCTCAGACACCCGTCCCTGCCTGTCCTCTCGGGATGTCATCAAGTGCCCCAGTCAGGACTGGTGTGCATCACCACTGCCAGTGACACGAGGGCACGCCCAGTAGGCCCAGAGACACCTGAGCACCAGGAGACCCACCTGGGCTCCCTGCTGCAAGGGACTCCCTTACCTTGGGTCCACAGCACCCTTCCCAGAACCCCACTCTATGCCAGGCCGACCACCAGCCAGCCTCCTCCACAGGCCAGGGCAGGGCAGTCTCCACGCTGCTGCCGCGGACCTCCCATGGCTGCAGGTGTTCTCTGCAGGGTGACTGCCCAAGGGCTTCCCAACCAAACCAATGCCCCGTGCCCTGGAGGGCCTGTGTCCACCCGGGACGGGCTGGCCCCAGGTACCCTCCTCCTCACCCTGCTACAGGCATGCCACTCCTCTCTGAGACCCAGGCGCCCTCGCCCACTGGCCTGGAGAGATGCCACTGCTGTGCCAGGCACAGGAACCGAGAGAAGGCCACATCTCTCCAGACCCTCGGCTCTTCTCCAAAGGACTCGGGGTGCACAGGCAAAGCCCACGCTGCTCTAGAAGGCTCCACTGAGCTCCGGGGGCCTGCGTCCCCGTGTGCAGAAGGTGAGGGGCTCGGAGGTCACGGGAAGGGAGAGCTCGGGTGGGGACGCTGGACTGCAGTGGTCTCCTGCACCACACAGGCCAGAGGGAGACATGGCTGCGGCGGCCACCCCCACCCCACAGGCTCCAGATGCCAGTTCCCCACTGGGCTCAGACCCCAAAAGCTCTGTGAGACCTACGTAAACAGCCCACAAATGACACAAGCACGCGGGAGGAGGTCACCCAGGCCTCAGGACTTCCTGCCAGAAGGGACCGAGGTAGGTGGTCCTCGCTGCCGAAGGTCACTCTAATGATTGACATCCAAAGGCCCACAGATCCTGCGCAAACCCACTAGCCCAGCATTCCCACCACACAGGCCTTTCTGGGAGGTTCCCCAATTCTTGGCCTCCCCAACTCAAGGTCATCATTTCCCAAAGACACGCTAGTGAAAAGCAAGCGTCAAGACGCGGGTTCCCAACAACTCACCCAGGGCCTCTGAGCCAGCTCTCCCCGTCCCCCGGGGGCTCTGACTTCCCAGGGGAGCGCCCCCCCCCCTCCCCAAGGCCCCTCCCCAGCCTTCAGCTTCATGGCCGCAATTTTAGGAGCAAAAATATCTGCAGGACACGGGGCCTCAGCCCATTAACGATTCTGGGGAAGCCCAGAGCTCTCATTCAGGTTATCCGGAGACCATCTCCCCAAGCTCCCGGCTCTTTGCTGTGGCTTGTTCTGATGAGAAACACACAAACGTCTGCTGAGAACCCACCTGCCCTCAAGCAACCAATTTCAGAGACAGAAAGTCTCAGAGAGACCTCAAATCGTGCTCCAGTCCCAGAGGTAAGGGTTCAAGTCCCAGGAAGCCTGGTCCCTCCAGGCTCCCTCCCAGGCTTCAAGCCCAGGAAGACCAGCACCGGGAGGTGAAGACCACCCAGGTCCCTCCCATCTGGGAAGACTCGTTTTGTGAAAGGGCTGTCGGCCAAGGACAGAAAATCGAAGTTCAAACCCTCGGGCTGGCTGGGCGAGTTGATCTTGTTCAGAAAGGCCCAGCCTCACCCCCAAACCATCTCCGGGTCAGGGCCCTGCACCCACCTCCTCACACCCTTCTCACACCACCCACCTGATGCTCCGGCATGGGCAGGCAAAGGTGGTCGCTGTCACCCACACGTAGGCAGCGCTGTTCCCTGGGCCCGCCAGGCCCTCCCACGGGGGGCTTTCTCTCCCTCCCTGGACAGACACAGGCCAAGCCTGGTGAACAGGACTGGTCCCTGGGGCGGGAGGTCCTGCTCCCCAGGAAAGGGCTTCTCCCTGCAGAGCTGGTCAGGGCCCAGATTGTTTCCCTGCAGCCCAGGTGGCAGCCCCTGGGAGGGTCTCTGAGAGTCAGTCCTGCCCACAGGTGTCCGGGGGTCTCTGCTCTTTAGCGCTGCTCTCCACCTCGGGACCCACCTGGGTTTCAGAGATGCCTCCCTGGGAGGCAGTGGCAGAGAAGCTAATGTCTCCCCTTCCCCCGCCTCTGGGCCGC